TTATTTTTCCATCCATCCATTCATCCATCCATCCATCCATCCATCCATCCATCCATCCATCCATCCATCCATCCATCCATCCATCCAGGATATGCTTATTTGATATCAACATACAATACTAATTTAGGTAAATATGTTTAATGCAAATAAACACAATATTCCTCAGAATTGCCTGTATGCCTTAACCCTCCTGCTGCCCATGGGTTAAAATGATACCTGAGGTCTCAGTTCGAGTCCTTGTGGTTTTTTTTTGACCTATGGACTGCAGGAGAGTTTAAAAAAAAAGCCAAGGGACCCATTAGAGTGGTGTTTATTTTTCTACTAAACAACAAATAGTTTTTACTGTTTGGGGTTACAAATACAACCAGTGTATAACAAAGTCATATATAAATTACTGGCTCRACATGAGGCGGTTCTTAGGTGATGTGGAGGAGTAGGAAGTGAGCGGAAGGCATTTGACAGAGGATTAGATTGGCGAGACTGGAATCCCCCCCCCCCCAACCCCCACCTATCAAAGAGTGATAATTAGACAGGTATAGACACTACCTCGGCCTGAACACACGTGCATAGATACGAGGACACACACACAAACATTACACTTAAGAAACAGAGAAACAAACACTCCCATGAACGAACATGAAACCTGGCAGTTTTTTACCCAACAACTTGTGAAACATCTTAATCTGACTAGAGTGTATTTAGATGTATTTWTATCCTGTCATGTTGGAGCTATGTTGCAGTTTTTAATGCTCTTTTAGTCTTCTTCTGTTATTTTCTCCACGTTTTTATTCATTTGACATCACTGATGTTCCATGGCGAACAGGATATGGAGAGATTCCTATAGATTCCTTGAGATAATAAGTAAACAAAGCAAAGAGCCTGTTAAAAGAGACAAATATAATCCTATATTCTCTTCTTTGCTTCCATCCTGGATGAAGCAGTAAGCTAGTCCTTCATCCTCGCTTCTTGAAGATGACTGAGCTTAGCCAGGAATTCAGTGGGACCTTCCCGAGTCTTTTAATTAGTTCTTCGAGATTTATCCCAGGAATTATTCCAAATTACATCTGGATCCTATCTTTTACAGGGATTACTCCATGTCCCATCATTCCCTTTCAGACGTATGCAGCCAAAAGGAAATAAATAAGACAAGAGACGAATGGATTTCTGCTTTTACTGACAGCTACAGCCTGAGGGTTTCTGCAGCCTACAAACTGTAATCTGGGGTTTATAATGTCGTGTAGTAGTTTAAATCTCTAATGCTAACCAGAAAACAGTGTGGTGTCAAACTCAAACCATCTCCGGAACAAGTCAAAGACAATGGGTGGATTTTAAATCCAAACACTGGGCTGAGTTCATAGAGTTTACCTAGCTACTCTTAAAGCTAACACGGCTGGGCAACCCACTTTAGAGTGCACGTGTCAGACTCGAGGCTACTGGGCCAAATGTGGCCCGCAACAAAATTTTACGTGGCCCACAAGATCAAAGATGTATTAACGTCTTTAATGTTTGATATATTTATTGAAAGTTTTACGTAACAAAAGTACAAAAATACAGAAATTATCAACGGAAGAAGGAAAAAAAGAGAACAAAAATAAAAAAAGAACCCACCCCAATGAAGAAACCCAGTCCTCACTGTCATTCAAGCAAAGTAAAAAAAGAAAGATTTCCAAGTCTTCTTTTCAGAGCCTCTCATCACTCATCTGATTTTCACCATTTTTAAATTGAACACATCTCTAATCCAACGTGTTACTTTGGGCGGGGCAGCATCCTTCCACCCYGGAAGGATCAGTCGGCGTGCCAACAAAGTTGAAAACGCAGTCACCTTGTGCCCTTCAACAGGTAATCCCAACCCCTCAGGAATACCCCTGAAAAACAGGGTGACTGGACCCTGGTCCCTTTAGCTGTCGGTACGGCAGAAAAGGCTGTATTAATGTCTTTAAAATAAGTGTATGCTGCTTTAAAGCCAGTAACGATCATAAACTACAGTACATCTCCAAGTACAAAATGATGGCATACCACCACTAGGTGGAGGTGTACAGAATTCAAACGTTTGCTGCGTTTTCACCGTTTACTTTTACAGCGGACCAGTTGTACTGTGAAGTGGGAATTTCCCACTCACAAGTTGTAAGTTTAAACTGGAACGCCCCTCCAGTAGGAATTCCCTGTTAGAAAGTGGGAGAGTTCAGAATTAAAGATGGCAGCTACTTTAGTAAAACTCTTATACTTTTACTTTTTATAGTACTTCTGTATTATTAATTTCACATTTAGTCAGTCATACATGTAGTACTTTTCAATGTTTGTAAGAGGACACTGTTTCTGTGCAGGAAATACCACGCAGAGCTCAGTTATTGTTTGTTAGCGGTGCTCAGCTGGAGCAATGACATAAAGAACATGATGTTTCATGTTTAGTCGAAGTTAGACACAAAACACTGAAATTAATTACAACTGGCCYTTCAATGGCAACCATAATGCTCATGTGGCCCTCGGTGAAAATAAATTGGACACCCTTGTTCTAAAGAGAGAAGGCAAGTTTCAGTAGAACTGCAATAAAATTGAAAWGATTACAGAAGAGGTGTCTGAATTTACAGCTCTGAATTACCAACCTGTCACTTTGAGGGAGAGGAAGTAAAAAAAGGTTTTGTCACCTTTTGGAGGTGCTGGAGCCACAATGCATCCTACAGACACATTACTACCTGACAGGTAGAAAAAAAAATCACCTGGTACACAGGATGAGCCAGAAGTCAGAGGACATTATTCAACCAAAAAARGGRRAWRWSAYATCTGAATACTCCAGCAAGTAGGAAGGGGCCAGTCTTTGTGGGCTTTTAAGATGGTTCTGGACATAGCCTACGACATAGGTCCCTTCACCTATTACTTGATGGAGTATTTACTGTAGATATTTCATTTTACCTTTCATTGATAATATGACAAAAAAAACTTGAGAAACAAGATGACCTCAGGTTCTCTTTACTGTCATATTCAGATACAAGGTGTAGCAGAGACAGCAGAGGTTTTTATCAGCTTTAATACATTTATGGTTGGTTCTCCACAAGTTTTTTTTTGATGTAATAAGAACACAAAAATGAAGGAATAAAACTGAGACTCAGATCAGGGAAAAAACATCTCTGATTGTAAGTTTAAGATGTACTGACTGGTTCATCAGTGAGTTGAGTTTTGTTTGCTTGTAATTCTGGTCACAGCCCCTTGATGTCCTCAGTTGCTCATCTCTTATTTAGTCACATTTCTTTCACTTTATTAACTTCACTTGTTGCCTGTCACCAGTAACTTCACCCAGTGCATGCATTTCTGTGTTTGAATCTTTATATTTACCTCGAACTTCCTGTTTCTCAGTTTGGTTATAAATAAATTCCATATCTCAGCATTTATGCCCTTTCACCCCAGTTTGAGTCTTAATCTGATCAAACACATTGGTGCAAAATTTGACCCTTAATGCCAGAATTTTTATTGTACATTTTAAGTTTTTTAGGCATGCATGAAGACTGAAGGGTCAGGAATCAATAAAAAAGTGCTGCCACTGCAGAATTGAAATCTTTAACGCTACCTGCAGTAATTGACTGATAAGAGAAATGCACTCAGCTGCTCTGCTTACATCCATCTGTAAAAACACACCTCACCCTCTGCTCCACTTCTCAAAAAAACAAAAAACAAAACAGAAATGCATATCTGATATCACTSATTTTTACTTTTAACACCTTGCTCAGAGACTTGTGATCAGCCTGCTTGGACACCTRACCACACAGGAAGTGGATGCTTATGTCCACAAATATAACAGAACATTTACTATCTTTCACAAACCCAAACGTTACAGAAGGTGTTTTGGAGTTTCCACAAACCTTATGGGATTTTATTGAAACAGACCCACAAATCCAGGAATATTTGGGTCCAAACATTAAATAGGTCCACATCCCCAGCACAGATAATAAGTAAACACAAAACATAAATGTGTTAACAATGACTCTCTGCTACTACCACATCAAATTTTAAATAAATATTTGCCACAAGGACAGAGTTACAGCCATTTCTGTGTTGGTTAATGTTAGCTGTGGTGGCCATCTTGAACTGCATCGACTCCATGAGTTCATCAGCTGTAGATGCTCATCCAGCAACCACATTCTGAGAGTTTCATTTAAATGCATCCAGCGGTTCACGAGATATTTTGCTAACRGACAGGSAGACAAACACTCACAAGCAAAAACGTTGTCATGCACCTTTGCCTTTCCAAAGTAGGTGATGATAAGTTGCGTTTTGTCTGATAAGACTCTCCTAACGTGGCTCTATAAAAGAGAAGAGTTTAAAAGAAGTCTGGGCCCAGCCTTGTAAAAAARCACAGGTTTCAACACGCTCCACATACACCACCACTTGGCACGATGCACTGCAGGCAACAAGGAATTAGAGGCGCAGCAGCTTGCCAGCAGAATACCTGAATATCTGTCGCCTGGGGGAACACTAGGAGACGGTAGGTAAGAGTGAAAATGTGTGACGGAAAAGGAAAGGGAAGAAATTTTTTAAATCTTTTTTTTTCTAAACGCTTTCAACTTTAAACTTCAGGATTACAGAAACAAAATCAAATCTGCACAACCAGAAAGCTGACAAACAAAACTGATATACTGTAATTGGTTTTATTATTATTAATCAAACACAATTTGATAACCCAACTGTAGATATTCTTAATGCTAAGCTACCAAGGCTACAAAAAGACCATGTGAGGTGATTCCTGGCTCCGCTGAGGACARTTAAGTAGCACAGTCAGCATAAACAGCTACCAGAAAAAAAAAAAAAAGAGCAATCAAGAAGAAAATGTTCCTGTAAATTAACACTAAAATGAGTGGGCTACTTCAGCGGTAACATCGTTGGAATACAGAACTCTGCAGGGACTGATTTGAAAYTCAAAAGGATGAAGTATCGGATGACAAATTTTTTGGTAAACGTGTTGCACAATCAGTTAGTCAATCAGTCAAACTGACTGATTTCTATGTTGGCTAAGGTTGATTAGCTGTGGCGGCCATCTTGAATCAGGATGTCTCTCAGTCAGTGCATCTGATAATATGTTTCTGAGAGCTTCATTAAAATCTGTCATGAGCTAAAGGACAGCCAGGTACATAAACACAGACTAGGAATTAATTACATGATCGCCCACCTTTTCTGGCAGGGGGAGATAGATCTGCACTCCTAAATGAAGCCATGGAAAAGACAGTGAATAAAATTTTTCTGTGGCCAATGCTGATCTTCTGATTGTCTCATCTGTATATAGCAATTAGCAAAATATAACATTGACTAACCTAAAACAACTGTATATTTTAAAAAAGCATTCTTGCCTAAAAAGYTAAAGTTCCAAACTGMTGYTACATCTTTAAGTTTCTATTCAGTAACTGATAAAGTATGTGCTGATTTTTAGTACCCAATATAAACCGTGTCTTTCACAATAGGTCACTATTGGTGTAATGATGCAGAGATTAATGAAATAGTTGTACTTTTATCCTGATACTAGAAAATAAATTTAAATAAATTATATTTAAGATCATGTAACTACACACACCGGTCCATAAATATTGGGACATGGACAAAATTTGCATGTTTTCAGCTGCAAACACCAAAATGGATTTGAAATGAAACGAACAAGATGTGCTTCAACAGCAAACTTTCAGATTGAATTTGAAGGTTTTTATATCCAAATCAGGGGAACGCTGTTCAAGTTAACATTAGCACCTGCCTCTGCAGACGGAAAACGTCCAAAGAAATACAATGAACTTGTCGACCTTTTAATAGTTTGGAATTTGGGGCACAAATCCYGCTTAGTTTAGACATTTGTGTAAATGTTCCAGCGCGCAGCAAACACATCGGTAAATCAGGAGTCTGAAAACTGGAGGCGGACKATTTGTTTATTGTGAGATGCAGGGTTTTCCTATTTACCCAGAAGCCTTTGCTGTAGACATAACAGAACACTATCTGTGAGATTCAGTCAGATAGAGAAGGTAAACATGTGATTGAGGAACCTTATTGACCTTTTCCACACATACCCTTTTGCTTCAGAGGCGGAGCTAGACTTTTATGCAAGGGGGGCAGCAGCGAGGTGGCCAAAGCTTTGTTGGGGGGGGTGGTACACTCCCCCACCCCCTTTCAGTTTCTCCTTTAGTCAGGGGTCACAGTTTGTTGCTGTTTTTGTAAACAAACAACACCTGCTTTATAATGTGATCGTATGAGAAACTGTTTAGCTAGCAGTTAGCCTAGCCTGGACAAAGATATTAATCTCTTTCTCTGAACTCTGTGCTCTGTAACTGATGTCACAGCTGACAAGATATGTCTATTTATTTATTATTACTACAGTCTTTGCAATATTTTGTGCCATTTAGCATGTTACATTTTTTATCTAAACTATATGTAAAATTAAATGTATACTTTAATATTGTTTAASTATTATTTGTCCTTATTACAATGTCATTTGTTTTAGTGTTTATAAAGTTTGTAATATTATCTGTGTGCAAACAGTAATAAGTCCCTTTCATTAAATCTGAAGTGTATTTAAACCAACATCAAACTGAGATGTAAAGATTTTAGTAAATACAAAGCATAAAAATATAATAAAAACCTTCACAATGCTCTCAGATGAACATTACAGTGSCATATGTGCAGAAATATGATGATAYTCCTGCAGGAAATGCCTCAGGATGCACTGGACATCCTACAGCTAGCTGCTACTGCTTTTTGCACTGTTCATTAAAATCTGTCCAGCTGTTCCCAAGGTATGTAGCGAACAGACTGTACATTAGGGTTGGGCAATATTGACAAATAATTAATCACGATTAATTGGGGTATTTAGCCGATAACGATTAATTTGACGATTAATCCCCTGGAGTGCCTGGACACCTTTATGTTCCAGTCACACGATTAATTTAGTGGAAAAGATTTGCTCTTCGTAAAAATCTGTTCCAAATTTTGTCAAAATTACAGACTTCAGGCTACACATCAAATTTTAAATTGTGTTGATAGATAAATAAATTACAGAACGTTTTTTATGTTTGTCATATTTGAAGCAGAGAGGAGCACCACAATGCCTGATGGCATTAATAGCATTAATCATCAAGTGCCAAAAAATAATCGATTAATGTTTTTCTGACRATTAATCGCACACGATACGATTACGCCCAACCCTGCTGTACATTATCCCTAACTTTTAGTAGTTATCTAGCACAAAGCCACAGCTACATGTCTGTTTACTGGATGACTTAAATCCTTCACTCCCAACAGGCTCTAACAGACAAGACTGTCTGCTGGGACATGAAGGAGGCAGGTTGGAGCAGAGTCTTCACCTGCCTTCATGTTTCCTACATATCTGAAGCAGCTCCTCAGCAGCTGTCAGAGAACTGGGCAGTAGAAGCCAAAGGAAGCTGAAATTAGCACAAAGTTCAAAGGCAGAGCCAGAAAAAAAGGTAAAAAGTGCAGTAAAGATTTAA